CAGGAAGAGGTCACTCCAGGTCAGAACAGGATGGCCTGTGTGACAGTAGAATTTTTCCTTCTTAGAACCCGATGTCAGATTCTGGGATCTGTGGTGCAGGGACTCTCTGAACACTTTCAGTGGAGAGATGAGCTGGTCCCAGCCTCCTAGAGGCAAGCTGGCAGCTAAGAAGTGGGGCGTCCCTCTTAAGGGACCCCGGGAGCCCCTTAGGAAACAGCTGGATGTCACCATTGGTGTTTCATCTGCTTTTGGTTTACCTTTGACAAAGATTATATCCTAAGTAGCAGCGTGGTCTCACTGCACTCAAGCTTCTGCTCCTGTCTTAGGATGGAGAAGCAAAGATGGGAACTCCTCAGGTCACAGGGGTAGTGGCAGCCGTAGCAGACACCAGGAGGTGGAGCTGTGCCCACTAGTGCTTCTGGCTCAGGCAAGGGTGGCAGAGGCTGGAGTGGAAGAGCTGGAATCTCTTCCTGAGCAAAGTTAGCATCAGGGAAGGATGCTCAGGGGACCTCTGGGAGTGGGACTGGAGGTGCTGTTCTGTTCCTGTGCTGATCATAGGAGGCTCCAATCATGACAATTTAATTTTGAGAGGTATTAAAGAAAATGTGACCTGAATTTAAACTCACTGGCTGCTGAGACATGGATCAGGATTTTTCCAGTGCCACAATTCTCAGGCATATTCATAAGCTATTTCCTGTTATTTCTCTGGTGGTTTGACATAAATGTGACTTACAAGCCTACGTGTTAGCAGACCCCAAGCACAGATATTCCTTGGCATGGCATGAGTGTGTTCTTTAGGATGTAATTTATGGGTAGTTTCTATTAGTACCCACAATGTCTGTCTTGGAAAATGTCTTGACTTTATATCAACTGTGCCATTTCTTTCCTTTTTTCTATTTTAAAGTAAATTTGAGACATTATGTCATTTCATAACTCCATATACATTTAAAAAGTAAGGGCATTTTCTTATACCACTATATGCCATTATCATCTCTAAAGAAATCATTAACAATTTATTGATACCATCTAATAGCCAGTCTATATTCAAATTTCCATGGTAAATATGACTTCTTAATCTTACCAGCATGTAAAAGGGGGTTATTCCTGTTTTTTTAAAAAAGCTATAAAATATTTTTAAAATCTCACCAGAGGCTTTGATGACAGGATTTTTTTCTACCTTTTAATTTGGCGAGAGAGCTTCCTTTAGGCAGGAGCACAGATGATTAATCTTGGGTCTGAATTCCAGCTGTGTTTCTGCTTCTAATTTACGTATCCTTAGGGGACTCATTCAACCCTCCCCAGCTTCCCACCTGCATCCTCCTTCGGCCAAATAGCTGTATACATTAAGCTACCAGCCTGGCAGACTTATGAGGGTGTTTGCAATGTGAAACCACCCTTCCTGTATGTTTTCCACAGCCATCTTCTTTGTGGGGAGGCTGAGGACTATTGCAGGGTTTGGAGGAAGGAGCTACATACCAGGTAAAGGTGGCACTGAGCTGGCATGGGCAGAGAGCAGAGATGGGGCAGGGAAGTGACCAGAGGTAGAACTGGAGGAGCTTAGGGCAGAATCCATCCCCATCTCTTTCATTAAAAATACAAACCAAACAAAAACACATGTTCACTTGAAAATGTAAAGAAAGCACAAAGGATCATGTTTTCTTACTTTCCAGATCAAAATGTTAATCTTTTGGTTTTGATCACAGCTTTCAAAAATGTATATACATAGCAGGATATCGTATTCTATCCAATTTTACTAAAATTTGGATTGTATACGATATCCTGTTGTGTAATTTGGTTTCTTTTCCCATTTCAGGCTATATTGGGAATGTTTCCACATGTCATTAAATATGATTCTAAAACAAGTTTTTAATAGTTGCTTAGTATTCAAATAATGATACTATGTACACATAGTATACAATATAAATTTGTATACATAGCATACATTTATACATTTGTATGCAAATACACAAGTATACAAATGTATACTGTATTTAAGTATAGTATACCTAAATGTATACTACACATTTAGGTTGCTTATAATTTACCACCATTATAAAAAAATGCTACCATGAATATCCTTGTACTTAACAGTTTGAACTTATCTCTGCTTATTTCTTTATGGTCAATTCTGAGAAACAGAATTACTAGGTGAGGAGATTAGAACATGCTCCAAACTGTCCTCTAGAAAGCTTGTTCCAATTTTTATACGGTCACTGAAAGTGTACGAATGAACTCACTTTCCCGTAACTGTGCCAACACTAGTCTTGTTGCTCTTCCTCTGTAATCTGACAATTTAAAACGTGAATATGCCATAAATGTCCCCGCCCTGCTTTGTTCATGTCCCTTGAATCTTTGACTATTTCATTGCCCCAAATCAAAAGATGGTGTGGTGATTTTGCTCGCTGTCTCTAGTTCTTGACTGGCTGCTGGGATTTGGTGAAGGAAAAGTGGAGAAACTACCTGACCCATACTATAGCTTCAAAAGTAGCTGGGCTGTCAATGGAATGCTGAATTGTAAATTATTTTCCTAGATTATTTGCAAGGTTGAGCTAACACACAAAACATCCAGATTGCAAAAATCTCACTAGAGGAAGTACCTGTTTCTGGCTTCTGGCCAGAGGCTACACTTCCCGGAAAAAAACAAAACAAAACAAACAAAAAAACTCATTTGTTATTGACTGCCAAGAGTGGTGTGTATTTTCAAGCATCTGATATTACAGAATTCGTATATTCATACATGTATTTTTACCTTTTCTTCTAAAACTCGAGTTTTGGGTTTGCTGCATAACTTGGATCAAGCTTCTATATTTCCCCTCATAGACACGAGTTAAATAGTATTGCTCATCAGGTGGTTTATGCATCTTGTGCATAAACACTGCAAAATACAGTATATATGTACAATTATGCATGTTTTTCTTGAAAAGAAGTCCAAAGCTTTCATTGAATTCTCAAAGGAGCCCACTAAAAGATTAAGAATCTTTGGCTGGGTGCAGTGGCTCACACCTATACTCCCAGCACTTTGGGAGGCCAAGGTGGGTAGATTGCTTGAGCCCAGAAATTTGAGACCAGCCTGGGCAACATAGCAAGACCCCATGTTTGTTTTTTTTTTAATATTTTTTTAAATCTTTGATATGGAGAAGATTCTAAGGGATTATAGCTGCAATCCTTACCGGGGCCAGACAGGTAGTATAAGAGTGAAGTGGACAAGGAATTGGACAATAGGAAGTGGTGGAGACTGTGATATTCTCAAATGCATTTCCTCCAGCTAAATGGAGTAGCTTTCTCTTGGTTTCAGACCACTATTGGTGAGTGGAAATATTGGGCCAGTGTTCCCAGATCTTCATCCCCGTCACCCCTGACCTGACAGAAGAAAGCCCGAAATCTGGATATTTACATGAAATCTTTCCAATTTTGGATGCTTATGACAATTTAAACAAACAAATATATGGGACAAACAATTGGTCTGCTACTGTGTCACTCAGGCTGCTCGGCTTAAAAAAAAAACAGGCATTTCCAAACATAATTAAATATATTCATAAAATAATTAAACGTTCTCTTTACATTTGTCATAAGCCAAGAACATCAAGACCAATTAAAGACAGAGCTCCCAAGGGACTCTAGTCTGTTTGGAGTTTGGTGATTGGGAAATTCAAAGGCCAAATGCGACAGCTCTTCAAGCAATGCGGTTGCTGAACGCAGCAGATCCTGACCCCCACCCTCCCTTCCCCTCACCAATGTCCAGTACTCTACTAGGTCCAGTCCTGGGCCTTTACAGTGGTGGTGGAGAAACATGTTCTAGAAGGGGACATGTCACGACTTCTAATTTCATGTTTACGTAAAACCTTGATTTTCAAGCCAGCAACACCAGCTACTGTCATGCCAGGTTTTACCAATTACCAGAGTTAAGCTAGGTGCAAGAAAGTATGCAATGCAGAGAAACTTACCACACCCAGACAAATGACATTTTTGTAAACCAAATTCATCTCTATCTACATAAGGAAGTTTGGTCTTTAAAGGAACACTGCAATATGAACTTGACTGCTGGTCCCCACAGCAAATATGTAGGGCACGTATGTAGCAAGTTCTGGGTTTGAGTAGAAAGTAGGGGAGGAGTAGAGAGATCTTGAAGGCAGCTGCTGAGAGGCTCGGGGCAGCACAGCTGCAGTTGGGAAGTAAATGAGTGAATGACTGAAAACATGATCAAAATTGACAACCATATTTTTCCTGAGGACACTAGCTAACATTTCAGTGACCAAATATGCCTCTTTTTTCTTCTATGCACAGAGAGTGTTTTGTTTATAGTATGTTTGAAAATGACATTTTCCTCCCAAGACATCAAATGCTGGTCAAATGAAGATTTGAGCAGTGGTGGACAGTGCTATAGGCACAGCATATGACAAAGCAATGCCATGTTGAAAACAGCGAGATGTTTCCACAGAAACAAATATAGACATTCCAGGTGGAGAGAGGTGGAGAAAGATGGGTGGGGTAGGGGCGGGGGGGGGAGAGAGAGAGAGAGAGAGAGAGAGAGAGTGTGAGTGTGTGATGTATCTAATACATTTCAATTTTTCCCATAATTAGAAAAGAACAACTTAGGTGAAATCTTTTTAAATAATTATAGAAAATGACATGGTTAGGCTTTGTGTTCCCACCGAAATCTATTGAATTGTAATCCCCATAATTGTGTCAAGGCGGAGACCAGGTGGAGGTAATTGAATCTTAAGGGCAGTTTCTCTCATGTTGTTCCCGTGATAGTGAGTGAGCTCTCACGAGATCTTATGGTTTTATAAGGCATTTCTCCTTCCCGCCGCCTGTGAAGAAGTTTGCCTTGCTTCTCCTCTGCCTTCTGCCATGATTCTAAGTTTCCTGAGGTCGTCTGAGCCATGCTTAACCGTGAGTCAATTAAACCTCTTTCCTTTATAAATTAACCAGTCTCAGGCAGTTCTTTATAGCAGTAGGAAAATGGACTAATACAGAAAACATCAGTTTTCTCAAGGTACCTGTAATCATGCTGGATATAATTAATGGCAAAATGATGAGTTTCAGCATCCGCATTAGAATTTCTCCAGGAAAAGCAAAGTAGAATTTATCCAGATTTGAGAGATTGCTGTGTTCTCGAACCAAGACTCCTGTGGTAATGCCTAAGAAAAACAAGAGTTGGAAAGAAGGAAGAGGAATGTTATTGAGTTCTCCTGTATCCATTTTTATGGAAAAAATACCCCAAAATGCACATTTTAATGGCAAGAAAAATAGTTTAGATTATCTTCCATGAGTCTGTAAAATTTAGACTTAAAGTTACATTTTAAAAGGTAGTGAACAGAAAGTATACATTATTCAGTAAATCTGTAAAAAGTATTCTATACACGAAAGCTTTGTTGTCATTTCTTCCTCATCAATTATACTTAGTATAATGACAAAATATCAAAGAACAGTATGAGAAAAAAATTCATCATCTAAGTCAATCCAATATAACTCTGCTTTTACATTACCACCTTTGTCTACCTGCAGAGATATTTTACGTATTTTATTTTATTATTTATTTTTTTTGAGACAGGGGCCCGCTCTGTCACCCTGGCTATAGTGCAGTGGTTCCATCTCGGCTCACTGCAGCCTCCACCTCAGCCTTCCCACCTCAGCCTTCTAAGTAGCTAGGACTATATGCACACCACTATGTCCAGCTAATTTTTTTTTTTTTTTTTTTTTTTTTTTTTTTTT